GTACTATTGGGTCTGAAAAACGCATTGTTCACGCATGGTTGTGCAGAGACAACACCAAAGCCTACAAGAACAAACCAGAAGATTGACAAAAGATTAGTATTCTGTTTCATTTTCAAAACACTTTGACAAACGCTTTGAGAAAGCTCGGTAGCAAGTAGGAGTGTAAGATATGAATGTGTTGTCGCTTTAATGAGCGCACTTGACTTCACTCATCAAGTTGACATAGCCAGAGAGGATGACGTTTAACACATGGGACCTATCTACATTGAATTTTTAATAAAGAATGTAATTATGAGCCATGCACTAAGGAAATTGAGCCAATTATTTGTGAGACTGTAGCTCCATTGTCATATCTGCAAATATTATTTGAAAAATGAATAAACCAAAGTGGTACCAAGATGAACAAGTTGCCAAGAGGCAACATAGTGGATGATTCTAAGCAAATAGACGATTTGTGAAGGAAGCACCACACAATTTTTCAAAGGATATCAAACTAGAGCAAGAGGAGAGAGCTCGCATGATTTCGGATAAGGAAAGTATGACAATTTGACTGGATGGATGCATGAAACAGAGTTACAAAGCAACAAAATCATCAGTTACAAGTAAATAACAAACAGACGCAGCTCAAATTTCTACAAAGTCTCCTCCTTTGTTACCTCGAAATCGGAAAGTCGTGAACTTTGCATAACCCAAAATCGCCACTGAATCAGAAATCCAATCCGTCGATTGATTCCTAAAACGAGTTCAGTGAAACTCAGTGAAAGCTCAAGGCCGAATGAGTCGGAGATGAAATAGAAAACCCGGTTCACTTAATAAACCGGTTTGGGTTGTATACGGATGATAAAACTTACAAAGTGTAGAAATGGGAAGAAATTTATCCGAACTTTAGAAGAAGAAAAAAATTGTCAGAACATAACACTTAAAAAAATTCATACGTAACCTTGAATTACACATCATATATAGTTTCAAATGCAGTTATCTGAAATGTAGATCCTGCCTTGTTTTCAGTAACAGTTCCCAAACGGAACATATCAGCTTCAACGAGGCTCCACAATGGTGACATCATTGAGAGTCTGAGAAGTAGACCTCATTGGACATTCGCTTGACTCGACGCCATGATTGTGTGGAAGCAAGAATCCAGGTGGTTGAGGAACAGGTAAATTAAAGGAATTGCTAGTGAGCATCAACATGATAGTCCAAAAGTTGGGACGATGCTTTGGATCATTTTGAACACATAGGAGCGCAATGTGGATGCATCTTCTAACTTCTTCGCTTTGATAATTCTCTGAAATGGTTGGATCAACGAGCTCTAATGGTTACTCGTTTCTCCATAACCTCCAAGCCTGTAACATGAAGTAATGATAAATCAAGAACTTACAATAATAAGTAACATACTGGAGGTTTCTTCTTTGGTACTTACATAGGTGACCAAGTTCTCAGCTGTATTATTTGATTGGTAGAAACTTCTGTTCTTCTTGCCACATACAATCTCAAGGACTAAGACACCGAAGCTATAGACGTCAGTTTTTATTGAGAATTGGCCGTCGATCACATATTCCGGGGGCATGTAACCGCTGCAAGATTAAAACACATAAGAAATATTAGATTATAGAGGTAAACAAAAGATTCTTGAGACTTATTTAGTTCTTTTCATAGGGGTAGTTAGTATTTTACAAAGTTCCAGCTATCCTTTTAGTGTTAGCTACACTTTGGTCTATTCCAAAGATCCTCGCCATTCCAAAATCAGCGATCTTCGGGTCCATATCCGCGTCTAGAAGAATGTTGCTGGCTTTGAGATCACGGTGTATGATTGTGAGACGTGAATCATGATGAAGATATAGAATTCCTCTAGTGATTCCCATAATAATGTTATATCGTTTGGTCCAATCTAACTGCCCTTGCATTGAAGGATCTGCACATACACCACTAGTTATTCATTTCGATCATCTAAGTCAAATCAGAATCTCATCATGAAAAAAAACTATATATATGGGGTAATGCCCACAGACCAAAAAGGAAGTAGTCTAGGCTTTTGTTGGGGACAAATTCATGGTCCAATCTAACTGCCCTTGCATTGAAGGATCTGCACATACACCACTAGTTATTCATTTCGATCATCTAAGTCAAATCAGAATCTCATCATGAAAAAAAACTATATATATGGGGTAATGCCCACAGACCAAAAAGGAAGTAGTCTAGGCTTTTGTTGGGGACAAATTCATAAAGAAGTATCTTTTCGTCTCCTTCCAGACAAAACCCAAGAAGCTTAACAAGGCTCCTATGCTGAAGCTTTGCCACTAGAACAACCTCGTTTTTGAACTCTTGTGAGCCTTGTTCTGATGTTTTAGACAGCCTCTTCACTGCAACTTCTGTTCCATCAACTAACTTGCCCTACAAATGGAAGATGATGGCATGAGCAGCCTGAATTCCAAATATTTTCAAGACAAGTGATGAACTAAGTAACTTTACCTTATAAACTTCACCGAATCCACCTTGACCTAGCTTGTTAGTCTGAGCAAATTTGTTAGTTGCAGCTTCAATTGTCTTAAAATCAAATTGTAGGGACTGTAGAGTCGTAATACCAGCTGCAAGAATTAAATCAAACACACAACTATCTGTTATCACCAGTAAAATTGTAACCATCATCTGCTAGTCTAATAAATGTTCTTAGTTTCATTGAGTATATATATGATATAATGCTAAAAGACAAGAAAAGAAAGAAACCTTATGAACAACACTCACATTGATCAAGATCAGCTTCTTGATATGATTTTCTACTCTGAGAACGGCGGGCAAGCAGTACCAAGAAGAAGATGATGATGATGATGATCATCATGATCATGACCACTACAATAGGAACAACAATTGCTACAATAGTTCCCGTTGAGAATTTGTTGCTTTCTGCCAAATATCAAAAACACCATAACATATATATGAGTTTTGAATACCTTTAACAGTATCTTGTAACATTACTCATAGTTTGTGCAAATGATTTACCTGTCTTGGTTGGAGGTTGGGACAGAGGTCTTGCTGTCACACCACTAAATGCTCCAGAAAATGCATATAACTCTGCCCGGAAACCGCAGCTTAGCCTATTGACAGAGCCTCCTTGCCGGCCAAGGCAACACCTCTGATAGTTACCAAGACATTCGGTTAAACAGAGATTACACTGAGCCGGAGACAAATCAGGGGTGCATTGCATCGCTGCATAGAGAGCCTGCGAATCAGGCAAGGCGGCTGCATCAGCTACATAGTACTTGGCACTAGACCATATTGCATCAGTGGTAGAGGAAGCTTCTTGTATCATACGTTGAGTCAATCCATTCCATACTCTACTGAACTCAGCTTCATTCGCTCTATAACCGTTAAGACTGAGATGTTCCTTATGCGGCTCTAACTCTAACAAACCAACAAAGGACGTATCAGAGTACCGGATCATACAAATAGTTACGTTTGCTATCCACCTCATAGCATTTTTCTCTTGGAAGCAAGTTTCTAGTAAAAATTGGGAAACAAGCGAGAGACAACGTGTGCAAATCACTTCTTCAGTACCTGGAAGACACATTCCTGCGGCATATACTTTGTTAGGAAATTGACCTATTGAGCCGTTGTAGAAGCCAGAGGTAGATGGGACTTTAAAAGGAAGAGATGTGAGGATTAAGCGACGGTTTGTGTCGAACGTAGAATTAGGTGTAAAGAGGGTTGTGTTTATGCATGGAAGTGTTGTGTTTGTGAATGGAAGTGCAGAGACAAGGCTAATGCTCCAGAGGACAAAACAGAGGAATAAAAAAGACATTTTTAATGGTAATGTCACTGATGTGTTATGATGTGTTTTTTTTGTTTTGTTTTATAGAACAGTATGAAGCTATTAAGAATTTGAGAAACCCATTTATAAGCACTTTTGGAAACTAATTTCCACGAACATATGATCCAAGAAGCTCCTAATGGAAGGACCATGTTGTATGACTTGTATCATACGTTGATATTATCCATTCCATACTCTAAGAAGAAGAGTCAGAAACTTTTCTTTTTGGCTTTTTTGTGTGTGTGGAAATAAAGTAAAAGACTTATCATCCCTTTGTGACCAAGTAAACAAAAGAGAATCTTTTTTTTTTTAAAAATAGTGGATTATGAAACGAGAATTGATTCGTTGAAGCAGAGCAGTTTGAAGCATATATTGCCAAACCGCTGCAAGTGTTGCAGTATTAAGTTGATTTTTGACAAGTTTTATAAATGAATGGGTCAATGATCCCACTTAGCCAATATTATTTGACCAGATCCAATTTAAACTGATCGAATATCTAGAATCTTGTATGTAGCTTCTTGAAATCTTATAGAGAATTTATGTGGGAAATCTAAATACTCTAGTGCAATCATATGAAAACTTGCCCGGTTTTGAATCATTTACTTTTAAAAGCTTCAAGAAATTGACGAAGTTGTAGAACAAGGACAAGTAGAAGAAGAGAAATTGGTTAGTGTGTCGTTGGTTTGTAAATAAATTAACTTTGGTTATATGGAATCAATCGATATATCTGAAATTATGTGACATACTTACAGTTACAGGAGGTCAAAATAGAGTAAGAAAGTAGAATTTTAAATTTATACACATGAAACCAACTGTAAACAGAGCAGTATGAGCAGCCAAAGCAGCAATCAATGGAGTCTACACATACAAATAAAACCTATATGTAATGATTCAAATCCTAAACAGAGTACAGCTAAAACAGAGAATGCACAAATGGATCCATCAATTTACAGCTTACTTCCATACCAATAATCAGTCTAATCAGTGTAGTGGAAGAGACACTCACACTCTTAGACTTTTTACATCTTCAACGAGGCTCTAAATCAGTAATCGATGCGTCATTCACAGAACAATGAACAGATCTTGCCGTAGAACTTGATCCTAATTCCTCAGCTAAAGTCTTGATCAACTCTACTCTGGAAGAAAAATCCAGGTTGTTGAGGCAGTGGTAGAGTTATTGTGTTGCTAGTGAGCATTAAAGTAATTGAAGGCAAGTCGGACGATCTGCAGGATCTTCTTGAACACACAACAGTGCAATATGGATGCATCTTGTTGCTTCATTGCTATGATAGTTCTCTCCAATGGCCGGATCCACTAGCTCTAATGGTGAACCTTCTCTCCAAAGCCTCCATGCCTAAACATGACAACCAAATTCCATTACTTCTCTCAAACTTTAGGAAGTTGAATTTTTTGAATTTGGTTTTTGTTGGTACTCACATATGTGACCAAGTTGCTAATATTACCGTCTGTCTGGTCTAAGCTGCTAGTCTTCTTGCCGCTTATAATCTCGAGAACTAAGACTCCAAAGCTATAGACATCAGACTTCATGGAGAAATGGCCTTGCATTGCATATTCTGGAGACATGTAACCACTGGTAGAGCACAAAAGAGAATGTATAACTTTACACACAAACTAAAAACTTTGTCAAAGTTCAGCTGAGAGGTAAAAAAAGTACTTACTAGGTTCCAACTATCCTACGCGTTTCAGCTCGAGTTTGGTCCATCCCAAAGATCCTAGCAATTCCAAAATCTGCAATTTTTGGGTTCATGTCTGCATCTAGGAGCACGTTACTCGCTTTGAGGTCACGGTGTATGATTATGAGTCGTGAATCTTGATGAAGATAAAGAATTCCTCGAGCAATCCCTCCAATGATACTGTAACGTGTTTTCCACTCCACCAAGCCTTGTTTTAAAGGGTCTGCACATATAAATGGTATATACAATTCATGTTTCACATAGTAAAGGCATGATCATTATGACTCTTCCTATGTATTGAATTTGACTTACCGAAAAGGAAGTAATCGAGGCTTTTATTGGGGACAAACTCGTACACAAGTATCTTCTCTTCTCCTTTTAGAACAAATCCGAGAAGCCTGACCAGATTTCTGTGTTGAAGCTTTGCCACCAGAACAGCCTCGTTCTTGAACTCTTCTCCGCCCTGTCCTGAGGTTTTTGACAGCCTCTTCACTGCCACTTCTGTCCCATCTGGAAGAACGCCCTACAACGAATATAAGAAACATTATTTATTACCACCTCTCATTGATGTGTTATGCAGTCTTCCTAGGTCTAAGAAACTACACTTTGAAAACTTCTCCAAATCCACCACGGCCAATCTTGTTGCTCTCTAAAAACTTATTTGTTGCAGTTTCGATTGTCTTGTAATCAAATTGCAGTGACTGTGTACTTGTAATATCAATACCAGCTGATGCATACAGAAACGCATATAGGTCACTTCAATTCAGAAGTGCAAAACGCATAGGTTTTATAAATTGATGTATACTTCCTACAGATAAGAGCCAATCAAGGAAATGATGGTAGAAACAAAAAGCAAACTCACACTGACAATAAAATGATTGGTGTGACTTCCTCCTCCTGCAAACAGCAAATCCCAGAGCAAGCAGCACCAAGACGATAACAGTAGCAAGAACAACAAATGCCAAGATGATTCCCTTTGAGACTGTTTTACTATCTGCACAAGCCCAACAGAGAAGGTAACTTACAAAATGACAGTTTCAATCTTTCCACAGGTTATTCTTACGACCAGAGATAGAATAATATACCATCTTGGGCTGTAAAGGTTCCATTTGACACAGGTTGTTTCAAAGAAGGTGGCCGTTGAGGCACTGAGGGAAGTAATATGATCAAAAGCACCATTAAATGGATACAAATCCCACCGGAAAATACAGTTTGGTTTATACATATACAAAGATTAGTACTTTGTTTCATTTTCACTTTTTCAGAACAAGTAAACAAACGCTATGAATGTGTAAGATATGTAATGCATAAATATGAATGTGTTGTCACTTTAATGAGCGCACTTGACTTCACTCATCACATAGCCAGAGAGGATGACATTTAACAAATGGGACCTATCCACATTGAATTTGTCGTAAAAAATGTAATTATGAGCCAGGTACTAAAAAATGTAATCGAGCCAATCTTCGTGAGAATTGTATTTGAAAAGAAAAAAAGCAAAGTGGTACCGAGATGAACAAGTTGCCAAGAGGCACATAGTGGATGATTCTAAGCAAATAGACGAAATGTGAAGGAAGCACCACACATTTTTTCAGAGGATATCGAACTACAGGAAGACGAGAGAGCTCAAATGATTTCGGATAAGGAAAGTATGACAATTTGGCTGGATAAAGCATGAAACAGAGTTACAAAGCAACAAAATCATCAAGTTGCAAGTAAATAACAAGAAGACGCAGCCCAGATTTCTATAAATTATCCTCCTTTGTTACCTCGAAATCGAAAAGTCGTGAACTTTGGATAACCCAAAATCGCCACTGAATCAGAAATCCAATCCCTCGATTAGAAATTCCTAAAACGAGTTCAGTGAAAAAAAAGCTTATGGCGGAGAAGAAATAGAAAAACCGGTTAACTTAATAAACCGGTTTGGGACGTTTATATAAACGGATCAATTCAATGTTGATAGTGGATCCATACATAGGAAATCAGAAATTTTCTTAACAA